GGAAAACAGTATGGAAGTTCCTCAAAAAACTAAAAATAGGAATATCATATGAGCCAGCAATCTCACTACTGGGTATACTAAGTCTGTCTGGAAAGTATCCGGCCACGTAATATGAAAAATAGAGACATTTATTGAAGAAGATACAAGATACAAGAAACACTGTACATAGGACAATGACATCTCAGTCCCCTTCAAAATAGGCACCTTGGGACCTCACACAGTTCTCCCAGAGTCTCTTAACCTAACCCGTACATGTTCAACATTCTCAGGTATTCTGCCCGTTGCAGGCCTTCCAGAACGTGGATCACTTTCAACAGATTCCCGACCATCTGGTTATATTAACAATGGCTGACTACTTTCCAGACAGACCTCGTATATCCAAAGGAAATGAAATCAGAGATATGTACACTCCCATGTTCAGTGCAACATTATTCACAACAGCCAACATATGGAATCAACCTAAGTGTACATCAACAATGAATGGATAAAGAAAATGTGGTATGCTATGACATACTATTTAGCTATAATAAAAAACAAAATTCTGTCCTTTGTGGCATCATAGATGAGCTTGGAGGACACTATGTCAAAAGTGAAACATGGCAGGCACAGAAAGACAAATACCACATGGTCTCACATGTAGAGTGAATGTAAAAAAGTTGAACTCATAGAAACAGTAAAATGGTGTTTGCAGGGAGGAGGGAAATGTTCAGAGGACACAAAATTTCAGTTAGGAGGAATAAGTTCAATACATCTGTTGTAGATCATGGTACCTATAACAACAATATAACATATATTTGAAAATTGCTGAGAGATTTTAAATGTTCTCACTACAAAAAATAAGTACGTGAGTTAATGCATATGTTAAATAGCTTGATTTAGCCATTCTACTATAAATACATATAACATCATGTTGTATACCACAAATACTTACAATTTTTACTTGTCAATTAAAATTTAAAAATTCTTAACATTTTAAAATGAAAATCAATTGGCCCTACATGTCCAGGTCTATTTCTGGTCTTTTTATTCTGCAGCATTTACCTATGTATCTATATTTACATCAATTGGTACTGTCTTGACTACTATAGCTTTATAATAAGTCTTGAAATCAGCTAGTTTCTCTCTGATGTTGCTCTTTTTCAAAGTTTTTTGTTTTGTGGCTATTCTAGGTGTTCTGTATTTTAACATAAACTTCAAATTTTGCTCACTGATTTCTATAGTAAGATTTTTGGGACAAAACCAATAATCAATGGTATAACAAGTGCCATGGTAGGGTAATAAGGTATACAGTAGAACCACACAAAGGAAAAAATAGATAAATTTCTCAAAAGTGGGGGGTGGGAGTAGGAGGTACATATACATAGGACTTAGTATTTGGGCATATTTAAAAACTAAGCAAATGAGTCATTTTCTTAATCTTGGATTCTGCAAGGCCACAGGGCTCAGGTGAGTCAACAGGTGCTTATCAGCAGGCTGTCTAAGGGCTTCTTCCAGCTACCCTTTCCTCTTTCTCCCTCTTGTGACTGCCTCCCTTTTCCACAAGGTGAGGTTTCCTCAAACAACAATTTAGGATCCATAATACTCTCTGGCACTACAAACATTTAATGGGTTAATTTATGTTTTAATAAAAACCTTAATTTAATGTATTATTTTGCCTCCTCTTCAAAGGAGGAAAATGAAGGTATTAATATACAGTCAGGGGGTAGTTTTTTTTTTAAATACAGCTTTGAAATTAAATTGACCTAGATTCCAATCCCAGTTTCGCCACTTGTTAACTGTATAATCTTGGACTTAATTCAGTAACTTAATTTGGTTCTTCATGTGTGTAATGGAGACAAGGTTATGGGATCTTCAGCATAATCTAATAATACTTAAAAGGGTAGATTCTTTAAAAAAATAAAAGCTAGTCTTCTTTTTTTTCTTACTAGTTTTCTCTTATTTCTAATCAAATTTAACCTTTGTCTGTTCTAGCAGGATAAAGTGAAAGGAAGGAGGAAAAGATTAGTCAAAGGAAATATTTTCCTTGGTTTTCAAGTTGAAATATTGAAGGAAGGAATAAACACATCTTTTCTCTACAGCAAAGAACTTCGTTTGAGGCAGAGTGGTACAGAATGAACATGGGTTCTGGGTTTGAATACTATTAATTTCAATTTTACTATCTTAGATAAGTTACCATCTCTACGAATAAGTTTCTACTTCTGTAATAAAAGCCAATAATACTTCCCTTATCTATCTGACAGTTACTGAGACATCTCACAGGGGAAAAGGGAGAAGGAAATAGTGTATTTCTAGAAAGACAATAAATTAACACAACCTTTTTGAAAAGCAATTTAAAAATACGTATCGGGAGCATTAGTGATGTTCCTGATCTTGGATTCAGGCATTTCACTTCTATGATTTCAAACTAAAGAAACAATAATAAAGACATAAAAGGCTATGTATTCAAAGACGTTTATCACAGCATTACTTAAAATCACAAAAACAAAGTAAATGTTAACAAAAGAGAGATTTGGTTATGTAAACAGTGATATGAAATCGACCATTTCAAGTTTTGATTATGAAGACCTCAGCATCAAAATAGACACTTCTGACAACATTAAGTGAAAAAAACATGTATTATAGCTATAAAAAAAAGGTGGGAGGTTGAGGGAAGGCTGCAAAGACATCATAACCCCAAGTGCTAAACAGAGGGTTATAGTAGTAAGTTTTACAGTGAGTAAAAGGTTTACTTTTTCCCTCTGGTTCCACATTTCCTTTAATGCGTTGATATTTTTACAATAAAAATAATAAACAAAGAGTTTCCCTTTTGTGGCATGGTTCTGAACACAGAATATTCAACAAAAAAAGATGAGCATTCATTCACTTTCAAACACTATGGGAAGCTACTACATCCACCCAGGCACAGAATGAAATTCAGACTTGATAAGTTTTTGTCTTCATTCATTTATCCATTCTAATCTGGGCATTTACAACACGCCAGGACAGTTTTAGACACTGGGACTACAGCTGTGAACAAAACGAAGTCCTTGCTCCCAAATTGTTTTTATCCTACGGATCTTAATTTCAGCAGTTATGTCTCCAGAATACTTCTAAACCTATCAGCCTACTCAAGGCAAAAAACTGCTTCAAAGTTCTTTTTCCTTGGAAGGTAAGGGTTCTTTACAGCTTAAAAAGTACCTCATGTGGTTAATTCAGGGCACGACAACAGTCCTTCTTCAAAGCTTAGGCAATAACATCACCTCCTCTCTATAAAGTGCTTCACAGGTTAAAGCAGGTTTTCCTACATAGTCATTCATTTTTAAAGCGAACTAATACAGTGGGTATGTACGTTCTTTGGTTTTCCATGAACACCCTCTGAGTTCGTTCAGGACTCCCAAGGGTTGGGGCTCAGAAAACCAGAAGGGCAGCTCCACCTGAGAAACCAACTCACTTGGACAAGTGTTTCCGCGCAGAAGGACCACGCCAGGGCGGACCTCGCAAACCTTCTTGACGGGACACCCCGGGTAATTACCGCATCATTCAGTGACCCTGAGTAAACAGACTCCAGGAATTTCACAACTTCTCACCGTCGAAACACAACAGAGCCCCAGGGTATAACTCCGTCCGCTCCTTTTTTATAAAAGTTACAAACTAAATACCAGCGGCGTTCCCCACAGAAGATGAACTGTAGGGCCGCAATCGCGCTGAGCTCGCCAAGAGCCAACTAACCCCGAGGTCTCCGACTCCGGCCAGGGTCGGAGGGTCCGGTAAAAGGACGGGGGGCAGAGAGAGGCCCACGGAGAAGCCGGCTCCGCACTCCGAGGCCCGGGCCCGGGCCAGCCCGAAGCGTCCAGCCGCCCGGTCACGGGCATGGCGGCCACCCGGGAGAGAGAAGCCAAGGCCACAAGACCAGGGCCGGTGACAGGTTTATTGCTCTCGGTGAGCAACTTGGGTTTCTCGTCACCCTCCCACCCCCGGCTCTACGCGCGCATCCCTCCTTCGCCCGTTCGTGTACCTGACACACTGCGGCGCGGAATCCCGCGTAGTCCGAGCGCTCCCCAACCTGCAGCGTCCGGTCACCGAGCTCGGACTCCTTCTCGCGCCGGTCAAATAAGTACACTGTCCTGGAGCCGACACCTCCGCCATCGTCCCCTGTCCCCTCAGAGGGCCCGCCGGGCCCGCCGCCGCCCGCCGCTGCCATATTGGGGGAAAAGAGAAAAGACAGCGGCGCCGGCCGCCGCCGCGCTCAAGGCAAAGGTGCGGGCTCCAGGCAGCGCCTTCAGCTCCAGCCCCCGAGGCGGCTCGAGGCCTCGGCCGGCGCAAGACAGCTCCTCCCCCGCGGCGGCGGCGGCAGAGGCGGCGGCGGCACGGGAGCTGCAGGCGCGATGATCACCCGGGAACCGATTCAAACGCGATCCTGTCCGTGCACCACGTCACTTCCGCGGCCCGCCACTACCGAAGAAAAGGGACGCGCGGCGCGCTCCTCACAGGGCCCGGGCCCTGCGACCGCCGCCGCCCACGCGTGCCTCACAGCGCGAACGGAGACCAGGACGGTCGCCCGGAGTGTGGCGCAGGAGGAAGAAGGGTGGCGGGCGGCGGGGGGGTTGGGGGCGGGGCGAATCCAGCAGGCCGCGCGGGCCGGGGCGGGGCTTCGCCGCCGGCGCCCAGGGCCCGCCCCTTTCGCGCTAGTGAAATTGGAGGGAAGCGTGGTCCTTCCTGCGCCCTACGTGGAGTCCCCAAAAGCCGAAGCGGGGGGGCGTCCCAGAGGACTGTGCTTCCCCGAATCGCCGTGATCCCGACCGAGCCTGCTCGGCGTCGAGCTCTCCGTGCTGCGCCGGTGCCCTCCGCGGCTGGGTCGCGTGGAGGCGGCGGCGGGAAGCGTCGGGCCCGCGAGCTTCGCAGGGTGGAACGTGCCTCGAAGCGAGCACGTGGGCCCCCTCGCGGAGAAACCTGGCGCCGCGTAAAAGCCTCATTTCGTAGTAGTTCTGGGTGGGTTCGGGTGTGGGCCGCCGAAACAAAGCTGGTCCGTGAGACTCGACAGTCTGGGACGTCACCGCGATTTACCCCCCCTCCCCGCCACGCCCCGGGGACCTCAGTGTGTCCTGGAGCGCAGGTGGCGTCCTGGGCACTGGGGTGTCGCAAGCGCCTCAATTTTCCCACTACACGCGCCTCGCCGTCGCCACATTGCTATTAACTTGTGAAAGAGAATAACACCCATGCCAGAGGTATTAGGGTTAAATTAGATGTTCGCAAAATTCTTAATACATAGTGCATTTTCAGTAAAAGCCTTTATCATCATTATTGGGGGGGAGTACATTTCATTAACTATCCTGATGGTGGGTGTATAGTGCCAGTAAACAACAAATAAAATGTCATTGTCGGAGGACTCTCCAATTATTAAAAATAGCGAATATTTCGTACTGGAGAGTGATATGTGAATTCAGGAAGCCCAAGGTAGCACACTGGGGGATTTTTCAAATCTCCAAACAAAAGTTTGGAGAATATTTAGTGTGTTGTCTGTTTTACAAGATTTGCCAAAACCTCCATGGTTAGTTATATGGGCAGACTAACGTTAAGTGTATTTTAGAAACCTAGATTTGCTTGTTGTTATCAAGACGTTCCAGGATCGTTGGGAGTGTGTGTATAATTGGCTAGACATAAGATATTACAGATAGAACACACAATTGAAACAAAAGTGTGAAGGCATGTGTTTGGGAAACAAAAAGTACTGCTGGAAATGGGGAGAATGGAGCAGCAGATGGTGGAAGATAAAATTGAAAGGAGGTAAGTTGTGACCAAATGCCATTCATGTCCCTTAAGGGCGAGGTGGAAAAAGAGGAGAGACAAAAGTAACCCCCAACTCCCATGGAATTTCTTTGAAGTCTCCTGTTTTATTTACTATTCAAATTCATGTGAACGGTTCATTGTATGTATATAGCGGTGTTTAAGTTAAATGACTCAAGAAAAACACAAATTGTTTTTCTAATTCTTAGTTAATGGGTAAGATGAATTGCCTTTCTACTTCAAATTGGGATAGAGCCAGAGGTTCTTTATCAGGGTAATTTCTCATTTCTCTATAATAAAAAATTATACAATGACATGGATAAAACAGACATCATATCTTTAGAAGAGATTTGAGCATAATCTCTAAAAGAAGAGAAAAAAAATGCTGCCTGAGAAAGGTACTGCAATATTATGGTCAACTGTCGGTGGAAACATTGATGTGTATCTTCCCATTGAGAGGTCAAGTCCGAATATTTCTTAGATGGCAGTATGGCAGTCTGAAACAGTCTAGGAACCGTTTGCCAGTCACTTTTGCTCTCAGAAACTCTTCAAAAAAACTTTTTCAGTGAAAAAAATTGATTTGTTCTTTATTTAATTTTCATCACAAGTAAATAAAGTGTGAGCTTGAAATGACCTAGTTCCCCAATTAGTTCTCTTTAATTGACTCATAATTTTTATTTTCATCAGCTGTCTTAGCATGTAGAGTAAAATATTTAAGTGTCCCTGTGTCAGTTATCTATTGCTACATAACTTTCCCCAAAACTTAGTGACCCCTAGCACAGCTCCTCATTCCCATCCTTCGTGGTCATTGCTCAGCCTTGAGGCTGGCAGGACTTGAGATGCCACAGACCAGACCAGGAGCAGCTCAGAGGTGGTGAATAATAGCTCTTCAAGTCTGCAAACTACAGTCATCCCTCAGTATCCTCAAGAGATTGGTTCCAGGACCCCTGTGGATACCAAAATCCAAGAATTCACAAGTCCTTTATGTAAAATGTGTGGTATTTGCTTATAACCTACACACATCCTCCCGTATATTTTAAATCATCTCTAAATTATTAATAAAACCTAATACAATGTATATACTATGGAAATACTTGTTATACTCTATTGTTTTTTCATTTGTATTGTTTTTATGTTGTATTGTTATTTTTATTGTGTTTTTAGAAATATTTTCTGGCCAGGTGCGGTGGCTCATGCCTTCAATTCCAGCACTTTGGGAAGCTGAGACACGAAGATTGCTTGAGGCCAGGAGTTCAAGACCAGCCTGGGCAACATAGCAAGACGCTGTCTCTACAAAAAATTTTAAAATATATATTTCCTATCCTTGGTTGATTGAATCTGAGCATGCAGAACTCAAGGATATGGAGGGCCGACTGTACGTTGCAAAAAATGTGAAGGAAACAGAATGGAAAGAGTGAAAAAGCTGAAAAGTCAGAGCCTGAGGATTTCGTGGTGGAAAAAGTACTAAATGGAGGTGCCATGAATGGGAAGGACAGTGCTTCCTGAAGTGGAAGGGATTTACCAATGCTGATGGTAGTTAAGAACCTGAATAAAATTTAGATTGTCCTGAGTTTATTGAACCATTTCTTAATCTTCGAAAAGCTGTAAATAAAAAGGTAGTACAAAAAAGAAAATCTATCTGACTGTGAATCTCATGACAGCAACTCAAAGAGATGCTGCTGAGAAACAAAGCGCTGCCAGAGGTTTCGATCTCAAACAAAGGCTTGGTGCCACAGACAACAGTGGAGAATTAATGTTTCTAATGGGATGGAAAGATTCACATGAGGCCAACGTGGTGCTGGCAGAGAGTGTTCTCAAATTGCAATTGCTTTTTATGAAGAGAGCCTAACTTCGCATTCGTGTCCAGAAGATGAAGAAGCTCAAAAACTGTTACACTGCTGTATCTAACCTAGGTCTTGATTTTCTTATTTATTGGTGGGAAGAACAACCACATTCTAATGAAGATTGATATGTTTGTTTTGAAGTAATATTGAGGGAGTTGTTGGGTTTTGTTTGGTTTTTGTTTTGAGGTTTTTGGGTTTTTGTTTTTTTTTTGCATCACTAGCAGTGGTTACTTTGAACGAATAAATTAAAACTTTCTGTAGTTGCTTCATTTATCAAAAAAGAACATTTGCTACTGTGGTATATTATTTCCTCTGCATTAGAGAACAGCATTTATAAATGTTGAGGAAAATTTCCATAGTCATTACTCAATCATAACTGCGTTTAACCTATAACGGCTAAGGCTTTTCTGGGTTTTAGTTGATTTGGTTTTGTGTGTATACATAAATACATATATACATGGTGGTCGCTGTGGTTTTGTTTTTGTTTTTTACATTAACCAAAACAAAATGGCATTTCACAACCATGGGTGAAGTCCATATTATTTTTGGGCTGCCATGATTCTAAGCAGTCCAAGAAATAGATCACCTCAAGTTAAATTGAAAATTTTCCTGAAGCCATAACTTTCAAGCTAAATAGATGGTTCTGTAATTAATTGAGCAGCTTAAATATAACGTAAGCGATTTAAATCAGATAATTTAAAGCAGCCAAGGCTGGGCACAGTGGCTCACACCTGTAATCCTAGCACTCTGGGAGGCTGAGGCAGAAGGATTGCTTGAGCTCAGGAGTTCAAGACCAGCCTGAGCAAGCATAAGATTCTGTCTCTACTAAAAACAGAAAAATTAGCCTGGCATGGTGGCACACGCCTGTAGTCCCAGCTACTTGGGAGGCTGAGGCAGGAGGATGTCTTGAGCCCAGGAGTTTGAGGTTGCAGTGAGCTATGATGATGCCACTGCACTCTACCCGAGATTGAGCATCTTTTTTCAAATGTTTCTTTCCTCATTGTGTTTCCTCTTCTATGCAATGCCTGTTCGTGGTCTAAGCCTGTTTTTTTGATGAAATTATTTGACTTTTCTTATTGATTTTTAAAGTTCTCTACATACTGTGGTTATTTAAATTTTGTTGGTTTTGCCTTTTTAACATCTTTTCCCAGCTGATGACTTGTAGTTTCCCTTTCTTCATGAGATCTCTTAATGAATAGGAGTTCTTGATCTTAATATGATTGAATTTGTCAAATTATTTTTATTATGGTTTGTGCTTTTTGGTCTCTTTGTAAGAATTCCTCTACCACTCAGGCATTCTCAAATTTTATTCTTTTTATTTTATTTTACTTTATTTATTTATTTATGTATTTATTTATTTAAGTTAAGGTCTTGCTCTGTTGCCTGGGCTAAAGTGCAGTGGCATCATCATAGCTCACAGCAATCTCAAACTCCTGGGCTCAAACGATCTTCCTGCCTCAGCCTCCCAAGTAGCTGGGACTATGGGCGCATGACACCACGCTCAAATTTTATTCTTAAAGTTTAAAATTAAAAAAAAACCTTAAGTCCTTAATTTGTGTGAATTTGATTATTA